TCCTGGGGCTGAGCAGAAATAGTGACTTATTTGAGCCTGAAAAACATCCCTAAGGTCTGCTAATTACTTCCTTTGAGCTTTGTTGCTGGAGAAAGCTTTGTGGAGATTAGTGCATCTCAGAAGAAGTTGTGTTAAGCAGCACACCAGGCAGAGGGGCAGCAACACCATTATCCTACAGGAGCAAGATACCCTGCAATACAAATGTATCAATTAATGCACCTTCAGCCCCACAAGGTTCCTAAAAAATCCAAAAACACCACCAAACAAACCCACAAAACCACTGTTATCTGTCACTCTGCTCCCAAATACCAGTTTACTGAAGACCTATTTACTGCACTGCATCATTTCTGCAGTCCTGGATTGCTTTTAGGAAGACCATCATTAAAAGAACTGAGCCCAGCTGCTCCTTCATCCTCCTTAGCCACGTGTGCCAGAACAGCAGCAAAGATACCAACTTGTGTTTCCTGATCACCTGCAGCCTATTGCCAGATCCTGAAGGTGAGAAAGCCTCAGCTAAATCAGTGTTGCTACGCTGACAAATCAATCAACAGAGCTGAAACAAAATTAACAACTGCAAGCACCCATCCCAAAACCTCTGGTGGGAGATCCTCTTTCCAGCAGCTTTCAGAGAAAGATGCCCATTTCTAAATCATCATCCTTGGCAAGAACTCCTACATGTACCTACTGGAGGACATCACCCTGCTGTCGTGTAAGTTCCTGCACTCTGGAAAGCAGCAATGCCTGCCCAGCACAGCCAGTACAGAACACACCTGCTCGAAGGGATTTGTATTTCTTTTCTAAATTTTTCTTGTAGGCTACAGTTCTGCTCTGCACACAGCTGCACTGGGTCAGACTGTCCAAAACCAGATGAGCTCTGCATCTGGGCTGCCTCGTCATCTGCAGGAGAGGGGCTGCAGCTGCTGAAATTAAGCAAACAGCTTTTTTTGGGGAAATGGTAAACATAATGAAGTAACGTAACCAAGGCAGGGAGTACAGAAGAGCATAACCTGGTTTTCCCAACAGTTTTGTAATTTCAGTTGCTTGCATAGACTGGGGAGATGGGATTTTGTGCTCTGCAGAGGCAGGTAAAGGACTGCACTTCAGATTTCACATCCTCGCACTCCCCCGCTCCAGTAGATCTGGCAACAGCGACCCTGGATCAGTACAACACAGCCTAAACAGGGATGCATTTCCTGTCTACGATCCTGTCCCACATGGTTACAGCTCTGAGAGCATCACCAATGCCAAAATGGCCAGAGAAGGTCATGGTAGACCTAGAAACACCAATCCGAGCCCCACGCCGATTTACAGTAAGTGGCATAGCTAAACACACATCATCTGTGCCAGCCAGCCTGACACTGACTGAAAGGCGCTCCACAGTGCAGGAAGCTTGGGGGCTTTCTGAACACGTGATGAGAAAAGGGCCTGGAGAGTCACCCACGGTGTTTAGTTTCCATCAGCAGTGCCAGTGCTGCAGTTCCAGTAAGGAGTATAAATAACAGCGGAGGAGAAGCCAAACAGCCACCTATGTGCAGTGCAATGGCAGGGGGAGGGCAGGAGAACCCCCAGCACTACATATAGCGTCAACTTGCTCCTTTTCCACCTGTCCCAGACACAGCCCAGACTGTCCCGACACTTCAGGATCCACCCCAAGACAGCCAAGCACATTTTGGATTGCACAAACCATCTCTGTGTAGAGGGAAGCACAGGCTTTCCAGGTACCAGGGCAGAAAAAGTGCAAGCTAAATAGCAGTGAACAGCTGAGAGCTGTTGTACACATATACTGGCAGACAAATGTACATCTAACAGCCCTGAGCACCTGGGAAGAAGCGCATTTAAGATATTTCTCTGCCACTACGTGTTTATGAGGCTGCAACTCATCAGAAAATTCAGGGCTGGGTATATTTGATGGGGAGAGGGAACACAATGATAACACGGGGAGTCAGAAACTTTCAGACCAATTCCAGCACCCTATAGTCCAGAGAGGAAAGAGTTGAAAATCAGAAGCAGCATTGTAAGAAATAAGAGCTGGAACCTGTGAGCAGAAGGGGCTGACAACATCCTTTGACTTCTAAGTGAGAGACAACAGCAGTAGAGGAGAGCAGAGGAGGCTGGGCATGAAGGGGGAGTAGAGCGCAGTTTCTAGGATGCCATTCCGAGCAGGAATCCTCCAGCAAACCCTCCGGTCAGGATAACATTCTTCTTCAGAAATACGATCACCTAAGCAGGAGAGAAGAGCCAACAGTGCTCAACTACAGCAGCTCACCCACCAACCCTCCCCGTATCAGAAATCCCTCAGGTTGATCTCCAAGGTGAGCGATGCTTAGAAAGAGACCACTGCTTGGGTCTGGGAAAGTATCCTACACGTAATGACCTCCCCCTGCCTAGAATTCCCACTGTGCATACAGCTCCTGAAATGGTCCGGTCCCAGTGCAACCCAGATCCTCCAAGAGTCCAAGCCTACCTGCTCCAGGGCTCCGATAACCAGCACAGCCTGACAGAAGGCGATGCTGCCTGCGCATCCCAGACCAGGGTACGGCAGAGCCCAGGGTAACCAGGCCGCTCTGCTGCCAGATCTGCTTTGCTTTTCTTGTCAGACTGAAGAGACACTTCCCCTCACAGCCCTAGCACGTCTTATCCCAACCCCAAGGAATTTGCAGCAACACACGGTGAGCTGGTGTCATGCCTAGAAGCCCTGGCTGTCTCAAATATATTTGCCATCTCTCCAGTTTTGCTGTCATGCATTCTCTCCTCGTATTTGCACGACAGAAGACCCGTAAGAGCCCAGGAGTCAATCCTATTTTCTGCTGTCCCTCCAGCTGAGCACCTGCACACACCCTGGCAGAGTTTTCTCACCTCATCCACTTTGCTTTTCATTTCTGGAGCTATTTTGTTACCACTGCTGTGAAATTTCAGCTGCTGCTTGGCTTTGTTCACGTCCCGTTCTAGTAACTTCCAGTCCACTTTGATGTATCCCGTGTGGTTTGCAATCTGGAGTTTTGAGGGGTGGAAAGAAAGTTTCTGGAGTAAAGCCCTGCTTGACCATGGCTAAAGAAACCTCCTTGCCCACCAACCTTCCCTGACCACAGCCACTTCCCACACATCGATCCAGTGGGCTGAAAGGATGAGCCCACTAGCTTAAAAATCAGACAAAGGACCACCCCTGTATCTGTATTAACTGTCCTGCAACATCTGTCTCCCACAGTAATCCCCTAACAGCAGGGCACACGTTGCAGCTTAGCCTGTTTCAGCCTCTGTTCTCTAACGTAGAGCTGGCACCACCTCCCCTTCACAACTGCCACGTATATCATCGGGACTCTCCGCAGCTCTCCCGCTGCTGTGGGTGGAAAAATCTATTAATAGCCCGTTCCTCTCTAAATATTTCATCTCTCTCTGCTCAGAGCAAGCTTTTGGCTTTCAGCAGAACGAGCCGAGCCAGAATAGCAGGGAAAACGAGTCACACATGAGACAGTGTCTGAGATTCAAAC